AGTTACAAATTAGCTTACCATCCTTTCCAGGCGGTCCTACTTCACCAGCATCACCAACCAATCCACTAGGTCCCACATTTCCAACAGGACCACGCTTACCTTGAAGTTTAGAATTTATAAGGGAAGGATTTAAGTGAAAAAGTTCATACCTGGTGGCCCAACAGGACCTTGTGAGCCCGGATCTCCTCGAGCTCCTTGAAAGCCCATTAGTTTCATACCAGCATCTGAACAATGTCGGTGAATACGCGAACATGACCGTTCCAGAACGTCCTTCTGGAAAAAAATAGACATCTGAGATAGTAAAAGGCATTTCGTGCAAAAATAAAAAGCTAATTTTTCAGAATTTTCCAATGGGACCCAACATTTACTATTTATCCTATCGATATTCGACCGTTATTGAAGGATAGGTTATACAAAGTTATTTATAGGCAAAATTTCGAAAAATGTAATTCTCTGCGTCGTCAAAGCTTGAATAAATTGAAGAAAATAATAAGGGTAAAGCTTCTGTAGACTTCCTTAAAATTTAAAGTTTGGCAAAAAAACAATGCTGACTGGAATTAGGGTATTCTGTCCCAGAATGATAGTGTATTCCTCAATTTCCAGCGGCAACGTTCTTTTCGCTGATGATCTCTTCGTTCGTACACTCTCATAGTCCCTCACTGGCTCTTCTCCTAGCACCTCACATTCCAGACTCTGTAAATATCAAATGTCAGGCAACCCTGATCCACAAGTCGTAAGATAAAGATTACTGTAAACTCACAACAAAAGTGACATAAGCGTGGAGGTAGAGTACAATGAGTAGGAAGAGATTACCCAATTGGGCGGCGATTATCCAACGTCGCGTACGCGTCGTGGATATCGCCGTTATCGGCGAATTTCCCACGATTCGCATGAAGTTTCGAAGTGAACAATCGCCAACGTGAGCGTTATGTGAAATGCGATACACAAACCATCATCGAGATAAACAGCCAACTTGACGCTTGATCACATATCGGAACACGACCCGTCCCATATGGGTGAAACGCGCTGATTAGTCTATGTAAGTTCTTTTATTGCACTTGGTTTATGATTTAAGTTCCCTTACAACTTGGAATGCAAAAAGTCACACATGATAGTCTTGGCGGATAACGCTCAAGTACTATCCTCTTAAAAGTGCTTAAAAAACCGTGCTTTGCTCGGATATCTCCCTGACCTCAAGCATTTGAATTCTTTCTGACAGAAACATATATGTTAAAGTAACGGATGGAGTCTATCCTTCCCAGGGCCCCCCTAAAGGTGGTTTTGGAACTTTTAAAAAAATAGACATCAATTTCATGTGATATGATGACTTTAAATATCCCAAAAGCTAAAAAATTCTTCTTGAAAAAACCCTCTAACAAACTTTCCACATGAATGAATGAAAAGGGGCGTGGTTTGGCCTTGCTTATGCCACGC